CTTGTTTGGATTTCCTTAACCACAGTAGGCTTATGTTTTGAGTTTGGGTCAATTTGGGTTCTTGATTAACAGTAGTCTCTGCTCTGTGTGAAAATAGGTGAATTGTAACACTTTGGCCTGAAATCATGAATATACTTCAGATTGCTGACTGCAGTTATTGTGTAGTAGAATAAGGAATGACTGTTTTTTGATTCCTGCCCTTCTGATCCTTTTCCTAAAAATACTTTTGCGATGGGCATCCTTTTTTTTAACTCTGAAGCGGTCAATCTAGATTGAGGGAATGTTTATCTACCAAAGCTCTTTGCCAATCCTAGAAATTATGCAATTGAAATCACCACTGTCATTTTATGTCAGAGGTCTTAAAATTAGAGTAGGAAAATTCCTTTTAGCACCCAGGGCGTGTCGATCACATTGTATTCTGTACCTCCGACACTCAAAAAGCTGGAGTATATTTATTGAAGCATGTGTGCCCTTGTGATGTGGTCTGTTTTCACTCGCCTGTTAAAGCCCTGGTGTATGATTGCCCATAGCTGTACATGGAGGGGAGGGGTCATAGTTGCACACAATCAGGTCATTTGCAAAAATGTTTGCATTTAAATTCTTTATGAAACACTAGATTTAATAAGGTGATGGGCTAATCTTAAGTTTATTTCCCGAATTCATTTTATAAATTTTATTTATTAAACTGCACATTTAATCTGAATTATCCTATTACTGGAAGAGTGTGGACTTGGTTTTTGTTTTGAGAAGAAAACAAAAAACAAAATGCAACTTCATCTTCTGACCGTTGTTAAATTGCTAACCTGAACATTCATGGGTCAGTTGCAATCGATTGATGTATAAGAGGCACACAGTTAATTTGGAGTGACCAATGACCCTTTTAAAGCTTTGGGGAAGTGTTTCTTTCTAAAATTGTCAAACCAAACCCTGCAGCTTATTATTTAATCATGGTTCGCAATGATCTTTTTGTAACTTGGTCACAGTGATCTTGGATGTCACATTAAGAATGTAGAAAATAAAGTGACTGCCCCTTGAGGTGACATGAGGACAAGTTTCTGGACCTGCTTATTATTGCTCTACATCAGGGAATTCAATCTATTGCTGGCATAGAATTCTGGGTAGTGTAATTCTAGAATGCTGGGATCCTTCGCTGTTCTGGATGCTCTCTGGTGGATTCCCCATATTGGTAATATGTATGAGAACCAGATATCTGTTTTTACTGCTCTTAATGGCTGTTTATTTGTTTAAGCTCCTAGTCATGTGCCGTTTGATCTCTTTTTTTTAGGTCAACACTCGACTTGCTGCAGCTTATCCAATGATAAATAAAATACTTCTAAGAATCAATCTCCGCTTTGTTGATTTTCAACTCTGTTTAGTCCAAGGGGTTTGCGTTCCTATTGACAATATGAAACCTCTTGCGCAGTGGATACCTTCCCATCAGATGTTCCATTAGCTGGCCCTCTGAGAGCTTACTGGAGTACACCCTGGTCTCTACGGTAGTTGCCCAGGCGACTGCTACGAGAAAAGCTTTTGTCTGCTTACAGAGAGCACCTGTTCACTTTATGAAATAAAAGTAATCAAACCTGGAACTGAAAACAGGAATATTATTCAGTTTTTATTTGTAGATTTTCTATTAACTTGCAGAATCCTTGGCCCCTGCTTCTCTATAATGCCCTTTTCCACCATTCTTCTATCTTATCCACATCTTTCTTTGACCCTTTCTATCTTATTGCACAGGAAGTGGATTCTCACCCCCAATATAATATACCTTAATGTTTGTTAAACAATAAAGGGATCAATATACAAAGTGACTTGTCTATGAGGTTTTAAAGTTCTGCTAAATGAGGGTCATGCAAGGGCTGAAGACGGGTTAGTGTTGAATTGACACTGACCTGCAGTATGTGCTGTTTGACATCTTGCGTGTGCGCAATTCCAGCACTTTATGGCAATCTTTCTTCTATAGCTTGACCTCTGTTAGTGGACATTACAAGTTCTGCTGCACACAATTAAATGTTAATGATACAAAAATTTCAATAAAGGGAAATAAAATACGTAGAATAAAACTTCTATAAAAGGAAATAATATAATGCAATATAATTGATACACAAAATAGTAGAAAACTCGGTAGGTGGCTGGAATAGCAGGCATGTCTCTCTTAAAGGGTAGGATGGCCGGTGCTATAATATGGTGATGTTCTTCCCCAATATTCCTCTTTCCTACTCAAACAGAAAAAAAATAATATAGTGCAGATGGTATGAAAAATGTTAGTTTATTAATACGAATGTGCACTTACAGGAATGAGGAGACTACAGCATGTACAGTGGCATCGAATGGAGTAGCTGGATATCATGGTTAAAACTTCCAAAATTCAATGCCGAAAAAAAGAGCACGTACTAAATGCTCCTCTTCTTAAATACCCCTTACTGTGTTGGCATGCATCTCGCTTGAATTTTCCGATTCTGCCAGATAACACAGAAATTCTGTGCGTTCCAGCGTAAGACGCACGCCAAAACAGGTGCCGTTTTTTTGCTATCAAAGTAAGGGGGACCCAGAAGGGGACATGCATCGCTGAAGAAGTCCAGCAGGACGAAACACTTAGGATTTGTACTCCTTGGAGTTTCCTTTTTAATGTTTTTGGTACATGCTCTCTTTTTTTTATTTTTATTTTTTTCGGCACTACATTGAATTTTGGGAGTTTTACCCGTGATATCCAGCTGCTCCATTGATCACAATGTGATCAAAACAAAAACTTGAATTTGCGCTATATGTCTGTTCAGGCGTAATTCACCTCTTTCATATTATGTGCACCCACACTTATTATATATCATTTTATTCAGGGGAAACAGGACTTTCATTTAGCATCAAATATTTAGGTTTGAAACTTTTTAATATGACTAAAATATAAAAAAAAAAATGGGAGAAAATAAGAATTTAAAAAAAATTATAAATTAGTTCTTCGTGACATTTTAACTGTGAATGTCATAATACTGATGGCTTTTACTTCAAAAAACAAAACACATTTTTATTCAGCGATGTCTCACGTGTAAAACAGTACCCCCTATGTACAGGTTTTATGGTGTTTTGGGAAGTTACAGGGTCAAATATAGCACGTTACATTTTTCATTTTTTTCACATTGAAATTCGCCAGACTGGTTACGTTGCCTTTGAGACCGTATGGTAGCCTAGGAATGAGAATTACCCCCATGATGGCATACCATTTGCAAAAGTAGACAACCCAAGGTATTGCAAACGTGGTATGTCTAGTCTTTTTTAGTAGACACTTGGTCACAAACACTTTACAAAGTTAGTGTTAATATTTGTGTGAAAAATGCAAAAAAACTAATTTGAACGCCAGTGTTTGTAACGAAGTGGCTAGTACATCGATATCTTATGTATATAGGTATTTTTTTTGTTCTACATGTAGCCATCGATGTAGCCTACAGCGCTACAGAATCTGGTGGTATATAAAAAATATATTTTAAAATAGTTAGAATGAATTTACATATTTTTTAAATATATCTAATTATATATACACATTTAATATTCAACGTGTATTTTGATATTTATATTAAGTATATTTCATTTTAAAACCGTTTAAGTCTTATGTTACAAGCATCAGGGGGAGTACCTGTAATTACGGGCACTCCCCCTGCTGCCACTGCTATGGCTGGCTATCCTGTCCATGTAAGCGTGAGGTCCTTGCGATCACATGGCCCAGGAGGAGGACTCCCTGGGATCACAGGTGAAGCCCCTCCCCCGCAATCGCCAGTGAGCGGGTTAGTAAATAGGATGGCGGGGATGTGCTATGCTGCCCCCTGGCATTTAGAGCTGGGTCCCAAAGGACCACTATAGGCACCCAGACCACTTTAGCTTAATGAAGTGGTCTGGGTGCCAGGTCCAGCTAGGGTTAACTTTTTTTTTTTTATAAACTTAGCAGTTTCAGGGAAACTATGTTTATAAATGGGTTAATCCAGCCTCTAGTGGCTGTCTCTTGACAGCCACTAGAGGTGCTCGTGTGCTTCTCACTGTGAAAATCAGTGAGAAGACGCCAGCGTCCATAGCAAAGCATTGTAAATGCTTTCCTATGAGACTGGCTGAATGCGCGTGCAGCTCTTGCTGCGCATGCAGCCGAGGAGGAGAGCTCTCCGCCCAGGGCGCTGGAGAAACCCCTTCCTCCCCCTCAGAGCCCGGCGGGAGGGGGCACCCTCAGGGCACTATAGTTGTCCTTTAAGGGAACCCTTTGTTCTTTAAAGGGGTATTTTAAGTTTTTATTTTCTGTGCATATAGTTATTTGTATTTTTGCACTTTATTATTATTGTAATTTATATAGCGCCAATAGATTCCGTAGCGTTCTACAATATTATGAGAGGGGGATTTAACTCTAAATAGGCCAATTATAGGAATGATAGGTTGAAGAGGACCCTGCTCAAACAAGCTTACAGTCTATACACTTCTGTTAATTATGTTTGGTTGAAACCTAAACATGCCACAAATCCTTGTTGAAAGGTTACTCTTACATGGGACGGATGCAGAGGTAATGGCTCCATAATCAGTCTAAGGAAGGTGTGCTCCTTCTATTAAGGGTGAAGATATGGAAAGAATCAGAGTGCCAACACCTGCGAAGGAAGAGCTTATGGCTCATTTGTGGTAATGCTATAGTTTTGGAACCTCCAAACACTGGTAAGAGGGGCTTTTCTCCATATCCCAATAGCTTTTAAAAGGTCAGGAACCTTTGAGAAGTTGCAAGGTGAAAAAATGTCTGATGAATATTCAAATATTCTATTAAGTGTATGTGTGACTTACCCGTAAAATGCTCTCATCACCTAGTACGCTTGTTCAACAAAATGGTTAACTGCAACCGGTTTAAAACTCATTAAACCCCCATAGGGTAAATAAACCTTCACCGTTTGTTAAAGTTGACAGGGTGATGCAGTGGAGTATTGCTTAGTTGGGTGAAAATAGCAAAACGGAATATTGTGAAACGATTTCTGAATGGCTTTATTAATACGAAATACACATAAGCCAAGACTGGACTCAGCGTCCAAATGACAAGTTACAGCCAAAATCTTAAACTGGTAATCGTGGCGTTGTGATCCCAGCTAGATTTCCACGAGTGTAGTTTGCATATTAAGTTAATCTTGTTGGTCTAAAATAAAAAACGAAAACTATTAAGTAGCCATCTATTTAAATGTCAAACGAGTTCCAAAAAAAAAAAAAAAAATATAGCCTAGATTAATCAAACTGCAGATTTACACATGGTTTGTGAATAGCTAATGATTGGTTAAAGTTTTATTAAAGGCAAAAAAGTTAAACAATTTAAAAATAAAGCTCTGAAAAGTTCAAAAAACCAAAACAAATAAATCTGGAAATATTATCCCTGCTTTTGGTTGGGGTACTTGGACCGTAAATTTGTAATTCTTTAGTAAATAACCCCTAAGACTTAAAATGAACTTGCAGAGTTCGATAACCAGGTCACTGGGAATGGACTTCATTGCCCTCTGTAAATTAGATATTTAACTTAAAGCCACCCTGTTATTTTAGTACATAACAGAACTAATACCCACAAGTAAAATACAGTTAAAGCTTGAATGATACGTTAAAAATCATAGAAAATGATCCAGGAACGTTGCAGAAATGAAAGCGAATTCAGTGTAAATCAAGGGTTAGTCTGGAACAGCTGAGGGTTTCTCCAAGTCCGTTTTCCATACAGCTATTCTAGTGGACAACTGAACTGTACTTTGAATTCCAAACAAGTCATTTGGTTGTGAATAACTCAGTGAAGTTTTGAGTGAAAGAAGTGACTGCTAAACAAAATAAACCAGTGTTCAAGTAAAAGGGATTGCCAGGAGCACTTAAGATTTGCGTTAAAATATAAACCTTAAACAAGGGTGTCAAACGTGAAAAGTCACTGAGGGCCGTGTCCACACAAAAAAACAAAACAAACACACGACTTTGTGAAATGAGGTGACGAATACCAAAACCTTTCAATGTGGGGTGATGGCTGTTCTAGACAGGATTAGTTCCTAGAAAAATATTGAAGTGATTTTTTAAAAAATAAATAAGAGTTGAGTCTGTTGCCCCAAAGTCCACCGCAATATGAGGGGATTACATGTTTTTGTTTAGAAAACATTTCTGAACAGTTTGCTTATTTTTGCTCTTTATTAAAGTCACAAAAGGCCCGAGGTTATTCCAGCCACGGAGGTCTTGGAGGCCATTCCAGCGCCTCATTCCAGCCACAGATAATGTCATTGGGCAGTACCTCAGGGTGTGCGCGTTGTCCCCATTAGCACCACAGAGAGGACAGGTATAGCACCTCAGGATAGGGCATAGGATCCTTCCATCTGTCCCTTTCAGGCGATGGTTGCTATAAATCTCTGCTGCCTCACGGTTGTTTCTGCAGAAGCCACAACCTTGCATCTCAGTCATAACTGGCTTCTTTGGAGGAAACTCAACCAATGGCCGGTAAAGGTGGCTTTCTCCTCTTACTCCGGAGTGCTGTAGTCCACGGATCAGAGCAGAAAGCCCCAAATAGTCATTCCACGCATTAAAGTCCTGTTTGTATTTCAAGCCCTGTGAACAGGACAATATTTCAAGGGGTGAACATAAGGTTTCCATACTTGAATCAGACAGGTACTACTCCAAATGTTCCACACGCACCGCTATAAATCCCCTCAGTTTGAGCACAGGTGGAGCAATTAGTAACTCAGTAAAGCTGTGACATCAATAAGACATGGCTTGGTGATGGATCTATAGGCCTGGACTTCACAAAACCAGGCTAGCATAGATAAGATAAGGAAAGTGTACATAGGGTGTGTGAACCCTAGCCCTGAGGTTTAACTCCATGCCATGATTTCAGGATTCGCCCAATTAATGTGCAATTAGCAAGTCTAACCACCAAGCAACCTCCTCTGATCCATCAAGCTCATGATATATGACTATTGGTTGGCTCCCTAACTAAAGGCGTTGACTTAAAACTCCTCAAACCAGATACAAACTTCCTGTTAGAACAGCCAGATCCACAATGGATTCCTGGACACATTTCAGGACTATGTGCTTGTGGGCTGCAGGAGTGAAGGCAAGGCCTTTGAGATCCCTTCTTAGTACCTCTAAACTACGTGTTCTTTATGTGCATTATTCTGGTAGTATATTGTCAGCTGCTAAGCATTTTAAAGGACTATTATAGGTAGGTACCCAGACCGCTTCAGCTAAGTGAAGTGGTCTGGGTGCTAGGTCCCCCAGGTTTTAACCCTTCAGATGTAAATATAGCAGTTTCAGAGAAACTGCTATGTTTACACTGCAGGGTTAATCCAGCCCCTAGTAGCTGTCTCCCTGACCGCCACTAAAGGCCACTTCCGCGATTTACAGAGTAAATCGCACATACTTGATGCTGGACGTCCTCATGGAGTCCAGCGTCAAACAAGATCCCCATTGGAAAGCATTGAGTAATGCTTTCCTATGGGCGGGTTTGAATGCATGCGCGACCTTGGGCCACACATGCGCACTCAGCTCCACTCTGAAGCTGACACCAATGGAGTAGAAGAGGTCACCAGTGCTGAGGAAGCCCGGTACTGGATTAAGGTAAGCAAGTAAATGATTAATTAACCATTTATTCGCCGTGGAACGGGACCCACTCTATAGCGTTAGGAATCCATATTTGTATTCCTAACGCTATAGTGTTCCTTTAAAGACTACTTAATAAAATGTGAATTGTCAGGAATGGCAAATTCTAGACAAATAACACACTAAAAAAAATAAAAATCTGTTGTTTGAAGAAGCCTTACAATGTGGCTGTTTCAAGTTGAAAATAATGAACTGTAGTCATTAATTTATAAGATGTAGTTTGTATTTTGATAAATGTTTAGCAGCACAGCACTTAAAACCAGTGGTTCCCAAACTTTCTAGGTTTAAGGCACCCTTAATATTTCAACATTTTTCCAAGGTGCCCCAAGTCAAAACAAATCTCTAGGTTGTATATATGTACAGCGCTGCAGCAAATACTGGGCCTCTGTTCTGCAGAAATGTTTCCTGGTCAGGGGCGGATCCAGAACCTAATCTCAGGAGGGGCACTAGTAGATCTAAAGAAGCAATCCAGGCACAATGCACTCTGTAGTGGATATGGTGCCAGGAGTGTCTGTTCAAGAACAGTTTGACAACTTACCTGGCGTCTGCCGGGATAGGGGATGGGGGGCTACCCCATGTCAACTGCTCCCC